TTATTTATTTTTGGGACAGAGAGAGACAGAGCATGAACGGGGGGAGGGGCAGAGAGAGAGGGAGACACAGAATCGGAAACAGGCTCCAGGCTCTGAGCCATCAGCCCAGAGCCTGACGCGGGGCTCGAACTCACGGACCGCGAGATTGTGACCTGGCTGAAGTCGGACGCTTAACCGACTGCGCCACCCAGGCGCCCCACTCATGAGCTTTAATGTATATGCTATTTAATTTGCTTAAAATATACAGTAATTCATATACTATTTTGTTCATTATTCTATTACAGCTGAACCATGTAAAATGTTACCTTGAAAATACTTAGGATATGAAAGAGTATTGTTGATGAAATTGTTAAAATTTTATAGGTAGGTATTAGCAATATACTCCATAAGACACAAATTGCTAGAAAAAAAGAAAAGAAATACAAACTTTTTTTTTATCTCCAGTTATGCTAAAAGGTAAAAGGGCAGGAAAGAATTTCCAATGGCCATGATGGAGTAAGTATGAATGGACTTTCCATCCCCTTGTCAACAGCTAAAACAACAGACAAAATACATGAAACAACTGTTTTTTGGATGTTTGACAATAAGCAGTATAGGACTGTGATTTCTAAGAGATGGGACAAGATAAAGTAAGACCTACATCTGTCTTGGCTTTCTGCTTGGAGGTACTTTTCAGACTGTGGTACAGGGAGGAAGAACTCAAGCATATCAAAAAGAGGGAGACAGGCACAAAAAATTCTAGGAATCTGCAAAGGGCTTCACTTGAGTCTCTGGCCAAACACTAATCACAGCACGCAGGATGAAACTCCATGAGGTAAAGGCAAAGAATAAACAGGGATTTAAAAGCTGAACCACAGTGCTAAGAAAGACTGAAGTTCTGATCAGAAAAGTTCTCCCATGGGGTGCCTGGGTGGCTTAGTCAGTTAAGCATCTGACTTCAGCTCAGGTCATGATCTCACTGTCTGTGAGTTCGAGCCCCACGTCGGGCTCTGTGCTGACAGCTCAGAGCCTGGACCCTGCTTCAGATTCTGTGTCTCCCTCTCTCTCTCTGCCCCTCCCCTGCTCGTGCTCTCTCAAAAATAAATAAAACTTGAAAAAAAAAATTTTTTTTAAAGTTCTCCTTGTTGAAAAACAGGCAATTCACTTGAAATCCCAGAAGATTTGTAGACTTCTTGAGAAGCTATGCAAGACAAAAGAAAATGGAGTATCTTTAAAATGCTTAAAGAAAAAATGGTCAACCCAGAATGCTAAATACAATGAATCTATTCTTCCAAAATGAAAGTGAAATAAAGCTTTTTTTTTTTTTTTTTTTTCAAATAGATAGACAGGAAGGAAGGAAGGAAAGAAGGATGGAAAGAAAGCAGGATGGGAGGGAGGGAGACAAAGTAAACAAAAGAAGTAAAGAAGGAGGAAAAGCAAGGGGAAAATGTTCACCAGTACACACTTATAAAAAGCAAAGGAAGTTCTTCAGGTGGAAGAAAATGATAACAGGTGGAAGATTGGATCTACATAAAGGAATGAAGATTACTAAAGGAATAAAAAGTACCAGAAATGGTGAGAGTAAATCTACAAGACTTTTTCGACCACTTAAAGCAAAACTAATAACAATGTACTACAAGGTTTTGCAACACATGTGGAAGTAAAAAGTATTAACAATAATAGCACAAAAAGGGAAGTATATTGTTCAAGGTTCTTACAGTATATGTGGAGTAGTATAATACTATTTGAAGATAAACTGTCATATGTTAAAAGATGCATACTCTAAAACCTAGAGCAGCCGGGGGGGGGGGGGGTCTGATTCATTCAAAACACAGCAGAAAAGAATACAAACAAGCAAAAAGAACAAAGATGAGACAAATATAAAACCTACAGAACAATACAATTAAAAGGCAACTGCATAAATGTAAATCATCTATTCCAATATTCCAACATTCCAATTCAAAGTCAAGAAAGCAAGACCTAACCATATGTTATCTTCAAGAAAGAAACTTTAGGGGCACCTGGGTGGCTCAGTGGGTTAAGCACCTGACTCTTGATTTCTGCTCAGGTCATGATCTCATGGTTTATAAGATAGGCCACTCGCAGGTACGTGGAGACTCTTGGGATTCTCTCTCTCTCTGCCTCCCTCTGCCCCTGGCCTATGTATGCACTTTCTAACAATCAATCAATCAATATTTTAAAAAAGAAACTTCAAAGATACACGGAAAGTTAAAAGTAATATTTATTGGTGACAAAGTCATAGTTGCTGCTGATATTACTACTGTGGTTTGCTGCCTGCATTCAAAATAGAAACAAATATTAAATTTCATTTCAGAAGTTACGAAAAATAAAGATTTTTTTTCCTATGCAAATGTTGGAGGCCCTAGATTATAAATCCTTATCTACTCTAAACAGCATTTTTGGTTACTCTAATTAAACTTACACTTTTTTGTTTCACATCTTTTTTATACACTTTTACTTTCTTAAGAGCTTTCATTTATATGGATTCTCAAGAATAGATGTTAGATTTTTTCAAATATTTCTTCTGCACCTATTGGTATTATACAGTTTTTCTTTTTCTTCTACTGATACATCTGCTCTTTCCACTTATATTCAACACTGTTCTAAGCTACAAATAGTAGGGTCTAGACTATGGAAAAGGAATAAAGAAAATTGTCTTTATTCACAGATAAAATGATTCTGTGCAGAATATACAAAAAAGCTACCAGACTAATAAGTGAATGTAGCAAGATTTCAGGATAAAAGGTTGAGACAAAAAATAATAACTATCATATGTCTACACACAGGCAAAGAATTGAAAAATGTAATTTTAAAAATACCATCTAAAATAGCATCCAATAAGACATAAAATACTCAAGAGATGAATTTAACAGAATATGTGTAAGGCTTATACACTGAAACTACAAAACATGGCTCAGAGAAATTAAGGACATAGTAATCAGAGAGACATGCCATATTATATTAAGATGTGCCCATATTACTGTTAAAATGTCAATTCTCTCCAAGGTGGATCTACAGATTCAGTGCAAGCACAATCAGCAGGTTTCTTTTTTGTAAAAATTGGTAAGATGACTATAACCTTTTTTTTGAAAATGTTAACAGAACAGTTAACAGAGATGGAGAAGAAAAAAAAGTCTTACACTACCTGATTTTAAGACATAATCCAAAACTACAGTAATACAGATACTATTATATTGGCATAAGACAACCAGATCAGTGGCACTAAATTAAACCCAGACATAAAACCGCATATACATATTCTGTTCATTTTTGATAAAGGGACTGTAGTACTCATCCTTCAAGATACCCCCCCTCCCACACACACACACACACACACACACACACACACACACACACACACACA